GACCTAAGGATAATTTGAAACCCGAAGGAGAATTTGAACAGCCCAAACAAGATGAATGGCGTCCAGCTGATAGACAAACACCGAAAAAGCCTCAAGACAACTTAAGACCCGAAGGCGAATTCACAACACCCGAAAAAGACCAGTGGAGACCGGCTGAGCGCCCAACGCAAAAGAGACCTAAAGATAATTTGAAACCCGAAGGTGAGTTTGAACAACCTAAACAAGATGAATGGCGTCCTGCAGATAGACAAAAGCCTACAAAACCGCATGACAACTTACGACCAGAAGGGGAGTTTACTACCCCTGACAAGGATCGCTGGCAACCCGCAGAGCGTCCAATTCAAAAGAAGCCAAAAGATAACCTTAAGCCGGAAGGGGACTTTGAACAGCCTAAACATGAGGAATGGCGCCCAGCTGAAAGACAAACACCTAAAAAACCCCAAGATAATCTTAAACCGGAAGGTGACTTCGAAAAACCAAAACAAGACGAATGGCGACCAGCAGAACGACCTACACAAAAGAAACCCAAAGACAATCTTAAGCCGGAAGGTGACTTTGAACAACCAAAGCAAGATCAATGGCGTCCGGCTGAGCGTCCCACTCAAAAGAAACCTAAAGATAATCTTCGACCTGAAGGGGACTTTGAACAACCTAAGCAAGATAAATGGAAACCTGCTGAAAGACAAACTGCCAAGAAACCAAAGGACAACTTAAAACCAGAAGGTGATTTTACTACGCCTGAGAAAGATCACTGGCAACCTGCTGAACGACCAGTTCAAAAGAAGCCCAAAGATAACTTGAAACCAGAAGGGCAATTCGAACAACCTAAAGTCGATGAATGGAAGCCAGCCGAACGACAAACTCCAAGGAAACCTAAAGATAATCTGAAACCAGAAGGCGATATGGAGATAATTCGGAGGACTGATTATTCGGTAACACGCGGTGATCGAGTCGAAGTCGTAAAACATGAGGATCATTTGAAAATGGAGGGCAAAATTGATATCCATCGATCACGGGACGATTATAAACGTATAGAAAAGACTGAGAAAGTTGTGATACAAAAACACGAAGATAATTTAAGAACTGAAGGAGAGTTTATTGATCTTTACACTCGTGACGACTACCGTGCTACTAAAGGCGACAGAGCACCTGTGGTTAAGCCACAAGATAATCTGAAACCGGACGGTAAATTTTATACGCCTGAAGCGATTCCATCACAACCTGCAGAAAAGCGTAAACCATTCAAGCACTTTGACAACATTACTATTGATAGGGATGTCAGGCAGAATGTTGAACGAGTAGATATAATAAGAAGAGAAGATAATTTGAAAATTGAAGGAGAATTTATCGATATGAAACAAAGAAATGATTATAAGGTGGTTACAGGAGAAAAAACTGCAATTGTTAAACATGAAGACAATCTCAAAATGGAAGGGAAAATGGAAAACATCAGATCTTCCGATACGTACAGACTAGTAAAAGGTCAAAGAGTAAAATTAACGCGTAGGGAAGATAATCTTAAAATCGAGGGAGTTTTCGAAGACTACGCGAGACGAGATGAAAAAGACACAAAGAAAACAGATAAGAAGGCTATTGTATATTATTCTGATAAGCCTAAAGACCAATATGATAATATTGGTAAGCCACATGATAGTACTTACACGCGCATTAAACACACTGAATATACAGAAGAAGATTCGAGAAATGATAATGTGTATAATACTACACGAATCATAGAAGATAACGTTCATTCTAAGCAGCTTGGAACTGACGAGAAAAAACCCGATGGAAGATATCCAAAAGAAGGACACGTAAGGCCAGGCTCGCCTGATAGTACAAAAGATGATCATCATCCAAAAACTGGAGTCCACGATAGAGATTCGCCTTCTCAGCATCGTCGTCAAGATAAACTTCATCCTGAGGGTAAATACCCAGGTAAACCCAAATCCTACTGGCAACCAGGGGAAAGACAAGAACAGGTCCGACCTAAAGATAATCTTCATCCCGAAGGCCAATTTCACCAACAACCTAAAACACAATGGCAGCCTGGAGACCGACCAGAACAAGTTCGACCTAAAGATAATCTTCATCCCGAAGGCCAATTTCATCAACAACCTAAAACACAATGGCAGCCCGGTGACCGACCAGAACAAGTTCGACCTAAAGATAATCTTCATCCCGAAGGCCAATTTCATCAACAACCTAAAACACAATGGCAGCCAGGTGACCGACCAGAACAAGTTCGACCTAAAGATAATCTTCATCCCGAAGGCCAATTTCATCAACAACCTAAAACACAATGGCAGCCTGGAGACCGACCAGAACAAGTTCGACCTAAAGATAATCTTCATCCCGAAGGCCAATTTCACCAGCAGCCCAAATCTCAATGGCAGCCTGGAGAAACTCCTTCCCAAGTGCGCCCGAAAGATAATTTAAAATCAGAAGGTGATTTTGATCGTCCATCAAGACCTAAATGGGAGCCGGTAGACAGATCCACACCAATAAAACCAAAGGATAATTTAAAAACGATAACAGATGTTGATAAATATCCGAGAACACCGGAAAGGACAGATATTCAACAGAAAAGTCCAACTCAATATAATCAAAAAGACACTGCATATTATGATGTTTCAAAATCATCACAACAAGTTGTAGATTCAAAGTCAGTCACAAGAACTGATAATGCGACGTATAATGAAAGTATAAGGAAGAGTGAAATAGAAAAGCAAGTGAAACAGTCTGTTTCGCAAAATGTCCAAAATGTAACTCATACTGAACATTCTACTACAAAACACACTCATACAGGAAACACTAAGCACACCACAATCACTAGTCAAGATGTTACTGATCGTGCTGACTCGCAAAATAATTTAAATCGGATAACTTCTCATAAAACGGTACAAAATTCAAAGAACGAATCTGTTGCGCGTAATAATTTAGAACGAATTGAAAACAATAAAATAGATGTACGAAACGTTAAAAACGTTTCTTCTACTACAAAGGTAATTAAACAAATCAAAGAAAAGAAATTAATAGCAGGCAAGTGGGTTACTGTTACACGAAATGTTGAAACGAACGTATCATCCGGACCTGATACTGATAACAATAACACAAAGAGAATTAAGGATGATCGCACCTCGTCTCCGATTAAATCTTTACCCAGTGACACTAATCAAAGCATTATTACATCGGACCGCGTGGACAGTTCGGCGCATTCGCATCAACGACATAGTTATGATGCTACAGACGATCAAACAAGGCGTGTGGTTTCCAGCAAGACCCACATTACGAAAGGAAGTCAAGAAGAACGCTATACGAAACACTCTACTGAGCATTCGGCTTCCGACAGTCACATAACTCATCGTCAACAGAGAGGTGATAGTGCACAAAGAATTATTTCTTCACAGGAACATTCTTCTAACCAAAGTCGCGCTTCGTCGGAAAGCCGCAATCATGAGAATTTAAATACGACACATGTTATACATGGAAGCCGAATTAATCAAAGCCAGTCGCATTCGAACCAGCACCAACATCTGACCACTGGCAGCACCGTGTACCGACAAAGCGATGGAGATAACGGTCAACACGCACAACAAACTTTGACATCTGGCCACGTTGCTACTAATCAACATCATGTGAATTCTCAACACCATGTCAATCAGCAGTCTACTCAACAAAGAGTCGTCGGATCTACAACTAGCGTCATAACTTCAAGTCAAGTGAATCAAGCGAGGTCATCACAACAAGTAAGTACGTCGAGCAGAAATCATTTAAGTGATAACGTAACAAAAACAAGTATTGAATTCCAACGGGCCATGCACGGCGGCGGCGACGTTACACCGGCGCCGATAGACAACACAACACGTAGCGGATACCACAAGAGAACGTCCGACTTAGTTTCGGATTCAACAAGTTCCAACGCAGTCTTGCATCGCAAAGGTGTGTCATCCACTAACGAAGCCCAACACTCCATCAGCTCGACCGCAGCTTCCCAGCGTAAGAGTATCGGAAACCTCAATGAACGCGGAGAATACATCAGTAACTCAACTCACAGTAGTGACAGAAAAAGCATCAGTTCGATGCATCGC